TCAGTCGTAGCACCAGCATTAATTTAATACAAGTTGATATTATAACCAATTCTGACCAGATATTATAACATAAAATTCGAGAAATTTACATTCTTTATATTGTTATAAATAAAGGTTTAAAAAGTATCATACCCTGGGCCACCGTTAAGCTATTTTTAAAAAATTTGAAAATTTTAATTAATCATTTAATAAACAAAAATACTATAAGGTACAGTATTACAATACCCAAAGAACAATTGGATCTTTTTGAGGATTATGTATCTACTTCTATAGAAGGCGCGCTCGATGTATACGTATTTTTACAACTCTTTTTCAAAGAGTTTCCTAAATATGCTAAATTAGATTTTCATATTGCTGGTGAATCGTAAGCATTGTTAATATATACAAACATTTCTAGTTATTTTGTCATATTAACAATATTATTAACAGGTATGCAGGACATTATATACCTGCCATAGCCTCGGACATAGACAAATTTAACAAGGACAATAATGCGACAAAGAATCTTACTCATGTTAATCTTGAATCCATCTTGATTGGAAATGGCTTAGTAAGCCCTCTAGTGCAATTCAAATATTATCCAGACATGGCCTGTGATTCAACTTATGGACCAGTATTAGATAATTCTACATGTGATGAGATGAGGAAAGGTTATGGACAATGTGCTAGTTTGACTAAAAAATGTTATGATACAAGCAATGTAGACGATTGCATAGCTGCTCAAAGTGATTGTATTGCTACAATGTGGGATCCTTTTCTCTTATCCGGTAGAAACATTTATGATGTAAGACAATATTGCGAGGGTAGCGGTACTTCATGTTATCCAGGATTACAAGATATCGTGACCTATTCTAATCGTAAAGATGTTAAGAGTGAATTGGGTGTTGATTCATCGGTGACCTATCAACAATGTAATGGAGAAGTTTACGATGATTTTCAAGCTTCTGGTGATATGTAAGCAATATAAATTAATCATTTAATATAAATTGATTCAAATTGATCTAATTTCGTGGTTAAAGCTTTTTTTTTTAAAAAAATATATACATATACATGTTCAATATCTTTATTTTTTCAAAAATTAGGATGCATAACTATGATATATACATCCCATCTCTCTTAAAAAGCAATATTCGAGTATTAGTATATGCAGGTAATTTTATAAATAAGCTAACTTGGTTTAAATTTTCTATTTAATTTATTATAACATTATTTTTGTAGGCGATGCTGACTTTATTTGTAATTGGTTTGGTAAGCACTTACTACCAGATTTATATAACATATTATTATGAAAATGTTTTGGAGCAAATACAAGTAAATCCTTAATGAATTGATCGATCTGCTCCATTAATAAATTTTTTTATTTTTTATCTAGGTTGTGACGCATGGACAAAAGCACTTAAATGGAGTGGTCAAAAAGGTTTTAATGATGCTAAAGTTACTCAATGGATAGCTAATGGTAACTATTCTGGAGATGTTAGAACATTTGAAGGATTTACATTCCTGAAAATTTTTGGAGCAGGACATCTGGTACCTCATGACCAGCCGATTGCAAGTTTAGACTTCTTTAATAAATGGATAAGCAAGAAAAAATTGTAAATGAGCATTGAAATCTGGTTAAATAGCATAGACCTTCCGGACTTAACATTTCTTATTCATATTCGTGGATCAATTATTTATCAAAACTATTTACTAGGAAACTGAAAGTGATGACTTAATATTTAATCTTTTTTCAACATTTAATTTTTTTTAATTGAAAATTTTCTTGCATGCATATTTAATTAATACTTATGTATTTTTATAATTTTATTATATTCATTTATTTATTTATAATATTGTATTTTAATGCGCAATATACATACACATTTCAATATTTTTAACATTTTATTGTCATTTACTTATTACTTTCTTTAAACTATATAATATCTGTAACACAATATGGACCATTGGACATAAACTATATCCATATTGTCCATAGTTTTGATTGGACATAGGCACTTAGTCAAAATGCCAACACATGATTCATGTATACATAGGTGTTTACTGTAAATTATGGATGGTTTATGGTAGATGGCGTGGCGAAATTTTTTTAATTTTTCCGCCACAATGTTTCAAAATGCTGTGCCTAAAGTTTTTTTCTAGTTGCCGATATTACTATGACTGTTTATAATATGATTAGGGTAGCTGCGCAGCGCGTGACGCGGCGCAGAACCAGTACGATCATACTGCGACGAGTAAAATTCCGACTATT